AGAAAAACGAGTCAACCACTTCCTCATAAATAACAGACCCCAGCTGAGAGCTGGTAGAAAACAACCGTTTGAGATAAAAAATAGGTTAAGATATTTTAGGATTAAATAAGTAGTTTAATGAAGATAGAATTTAGAATATTAATAATAAGATAGTAAGATAAGATAAACTAATAAGATAAGAGATACATAATAGTATAAGTGATAGTTAAGAAAATATAGGGATATAAGGATAGAAATAAGATTTATAGAAATAAATATATAGTAGTAAGTAAATTAAATAAGACAGGGTTAAGGTTTAGCTTTATAGGGTAAGGATATTATAGGCCTATAATAGTAAATAGTTATAAGAAAGTTAGGAAGAAAACCAGGATGTTCATAAATGTTTGACTTAAGAAAAACACCACCTGTGATTGAAATTGTTAAAAGTCAAACTTATTGTGAGTGCAAAAAGGATGTACATGGGTGTTTGGTTAGCAACATAAGATACATTTGTGGGTACAAGGCTGAGTGGAAAACCTATATAAGTTTGTGAAAAATAAATAAAAATTGGCAGAATCTTGAACTCTCCCCAGGAAGAAGGATCCTGTCGTTTTCGTCTTTTCTTTTTCGTCGCTTCCTGATTCCCCCGTCTCAAGCCCTGACTCTCTCCCTGGAACTGGACTCCAGCATCCCAGTATCTTGCTTGTACTACTTTAAGTTGTTAAAAGAGTTCACTGTATAATTGCATTGAAGAGTGCAGTTGTCTCCCTCCTGGATGATCAGAGATTGAGGACCATGCTCCATTTGGTTTTTGCTACTCACCCCTATTCAGAAAGCAAAGTGAGACTTAAGGGATCAATCATCCAATTGCAATGCTTTTTTATTTGCACCCCTTCCTTACTCCTCACAATGAATCCTAGGGGAACTAGAAAATGGTCCCATTTTCTTCCCTCTTTCTAGCCCAGTCCCCTATATCTTTGCCCCAAATACTTCAAAAATATTCCCTAAACTTCCTGTGTTCAACCTGGTTAAAACTCTCCATAACAACAAAAATAAAGCCACAAAACCATGAAGGAAGTCCTCAGATGCTTTTCCAATTTTATTCTGTAGAAGTCCCCTCCCCAAAACTGACTTGTCTATTAGATATCTTTTTTTGACATTAAATAAAGTATTTCTCAGAGAGTTTCCCCAGCCAATCAGAGAATAGATGTAGCTATTCTATACACATTCAGACTTACAGGCAGGGCCAGTGCAAACACTACCACCTTGGCATCAGAGTTACAGTTTCTCAAAACCTCTGTTTATGCTTTTTGCTAGATTTCCTCCTCACCATTTGCAATGTGATATAGAATATAAGCCCTTATATGTCTATGTAAGTACAGTAGATTATTAACAAGACATATGTATAAGGTTCTCAGTTATATGTCCACTTGATTAGGATGTGATGGTTAATTTTACGGATCCACTGTGTCTACATAACATAGCAATATCCTCATACAACATGTAAAGTTAACCACTACAACTGGTGCTTCCCAAATCTAAAACTGGTGTTCTGGATTACTACTACTAAAGTGGATGAGTGCTTAGGTTGTAAGGGAGCATCCACCGTACTCAGATATTTGATCTTCATATGAGTTTATGCTAGTTTAGTCTAGATGACACTGTAAAAGTATTTTATTTAGATGAGATTAACATTTAAATCAGTAGGCTTCAGCGAAGCAGATACCCTCCATAATGTGAGGGAACTTATCCATAAGTTGAATGTCTTAAGAGAAAAATACTGAGGTCTCCCAAATAAGAACGAATTCATCATCCAGACTAGACTCAAACTCAAGCTACAAAATCAACTCTTCCCTGTGTCTTCATCTTAATGGTCTGCCAGGCAGAATATGAACTTGCCAGTTCTCACAATGCCATTGGACCAAAAATAAAGTCAAACTATAATAACAAACTTTTAAAAAACATGAATAGAAAGATAGATAAATAGATAGACAGATAGATGACAGTCATATGATCAGTTTTCTTAATGTAAATAATAAACCTTAAAATTTATATTCAAAAGGCAATAGCAGATGATTCCCAGTTTCTGGTTCTGTATGAAAATCTTGGAAGTTGCCACAAGAAAACGCTGAAGAGCTGAAGAACTAACAGCTCTTCCTGAGTTCACAAGAAAGATGAAGACACAGGATACCACTGCCTACAAGACTGGAGAGACATAGATCTTGTGCATAACCTCTTTTCCAATACTCTCAATACACATACACACAGTATCATCTTCCCCAATTATTCAAAGGTCAGTGGTGCTTCAGAATCGTAAACTTTTCCACAACAATACAGCACACATTGGGGTGCTCCTTGTTGGCTTCTTTCACTGTGCCCAAGTTTCTTCTTTATCTGGTCTGCTATGCAAAGTTTCATCTCTCCATGGTGAGCATTTGCATACCCAGCTTTTCATTAGGTAAACCGAAAGCAAGCTGACACCAAGTAGTTCCTCATCCAGGGTCAGAGAAATTTCAAGGTAAAATTAAATAAACCATGAAGTGGTCTTTGTGCTCATCCTTGCAAAGAAAAAAAAAATAAAAATAGGCAAATCCCAAAGTTTCCTTCTTACCTGGATTGCTAAGCACGTTTTTATTTCTCCATAGCGAACATCCCTTTATCCAGTTTTTCTCTTTTTTGCATTAAGGTATTATTATTTATTGTTTTATAAAATTATGGTGCCAAAATATTTTTTGGTAATCTTTAAATTTATGCTGCTACTCATATATTGCTATTTATTACTTTTATTGTGTTTTTTAATTTTCGTATTTTATTTTAAAATTGTGGGATACACATTGAGATATCACTTAACCCCTGTAAGAATGGTCATCATTAATAAAACAAACAACAACAGATGCTGGCGAGTATGTGGGAAAAAAGGAAAGCTTCTACACTGCTGGTGGGAATGCAAACTAGTACAACCTCTTTGGAAGACAGTGTGGTGACTTCTGGAAGAACTTGAAATTGACCTTCCATGTGACCCAGCAATTCCCCTATTGGGAATATACTTGGAGGAACTCAAATTATTCTACAAAAAAGATACCTGCACATGTATGTTTATTGCAGCTCTATTCACAATAGCAAAAACATGGAACTAACCATGTTGCCCATCGAAGCTGGACTGGATAAAAAAATTGTGGTACATATATACAACCATAAAGAAGGACTAATGTATGGACTTTGCAGCAACTTCGATGGATTTGGAGTCAATCATACTCAGTGACTTATCACAGAACCAAAGAACAGAGTTCCATGTGTTCTCACTCATAAGTTGACCTTGAACAATTATAATGCTATAAGAAAGCAATTGGCAGTAGTGGGAAACTGTGGGGGCAGGAAATGGCAGTTGAGGGAAACTGCTAGGGGAGGGAGAGGCATACCTCATCTACAAGGGTACCTGCGTGATCAGTGTTTATATATGTAACCCTGAATTGTACCCCACATCTTTATAATAAAAATAAACAGATAGAAATAAATAAATAAAATTGTGGGGTACAATTCAGGATTAGTAAATAAATAAAATTGTGGGGTACAATTCAGGATTAGGTATGCAAATATTCATTATGCAGGTACCCTTGTTGATGAGGTGTGCCCTCTCTTCCCCAGGCAGTTTTCCACTACTGCCAATCCCAGCTCCCCGACCCCTCCCACCCCCGCAGTTTCCCA